GAAGAGAGAGAAGGAAGGAAGGAAGGAAGGAAGGAAGGAAGGAAGGCAGGCAGGCAGGCAGGCAGGGAGGAAGGAAGGAAGGAAGGAAGGAAGGAAATATTGGGGTTGGAAGTCTGTTACAGACAGCCATACCGAGGACAGAATGTGGACAATGCTTTCTTGAAACAAAATTACAACTGTGTCGAAGGAAGAAGAGTTAGCAATAATAAAAATAATAATTGTCTGCCATCGAGTCAAAACCAATTTACAGCAGCCCCATGACGTTCCAACTCATCGGGTTTTTCGAGGCAAGAGAGGAGGAGAGGTGTTTTGCCCCTGGCTTCCTCTGACTAGCAACCCCAGTCTTCCTCGGTGGTCTCCCAACCAAGTACTAACCAAGAGCAATTCAAGGACAGCCCAGCCCACAAAGTGAACCAAGCAGCCTCTACAGCTCCCCCCGTCGCCAGAGGAGGAGGAGGCGGTCCTCCACTATGCGGTGGTTCACTGCAGGGGCAAGCGCTATACCTTCAGTCCACCCTGAACTTTCCTGGGGTGGAAAAGAAAGGTGTGCCCCCCCCCATTCATGCCATCACCCAGGAGGTCCAGGATGGGCTACAGAGGCACTGCATCTGCAGCCCACCCTAGACCCTGCAGGGGGCAGCCCGGCAGGACAACAGTGAGGCTGGCTGTACTGCTTGAGACAACCCCATTTCAACTACCTGTTGGGAGGGAGACAAGCATCAAACTAAGCACAGAATATCCAATGAATTCCTGATTCTCCTTGCTGACTGCTTCCTCTTTCAAGAAGGTCGAGGATGATGGAACAAGGGACTCTGTTATCCTTGACTTGGTCCTCCTAACCGTTAAGGAAGGCTTGGTGAAAGTAGGTGAAAGTGGAAGGTGAAAGTAGACAGAACTTTGGAGGAAGCAACCACGCAATGCTGGAATTATTCATCCCAGAGAAAGCTAAAAGTGAGTGTCCTCTGAATACCCTGAACTTCAGAAAGGCTTATTTCGATAAACTTTAGAGAAATTCTAAGCAGGAATCCACGGCTAGTTAAGCTGTCAGAGAAAGGAATACAAGAAGGGGGGAGGGGGGGGGGGGGCCAGGAAAAGAATGTTACTGGATGCCCAATTGCAAACAGCAAAGAAAAAGGGGAGACATCTAAATAAACAAATTTGATTGAATAAATCACCTAAAGCAGTGAAAATCAAGGAGGGTACATAGAAGCAATGCAAAGAGGGACAATTCACTGATGAGATCCACAGATGAGAAGCCTGGACTTGCAGGGCCAAAGAAGATTGCCGGGGGAGCCAGCAAACAAGCTCTACAAGGCCGAAAGAGCTGGGAATATTTAGCCTGAAGGAAAGGAGCCTAAGGCAAGGACATGAGGGCCCTCTTCTGTTACCTGAAGTTCTGTCTCACGGAAGAGATGCTCCAAGAGGCAAGACCAGATATAGCGGGCCTTAAGTTACAGAAGGGTAGATTTCAGTTGAATGTCAGAAGAAACGTCCTGATGGAGACAGCAGCTCTACAATGGAACGAGCTGCTGGGGGTGGGGGCACCACACACACACTTTCTGGAGGTATTCAATCAGAGACTGGCCAGCCATCTGTCAGGACTGTTCTAGCTTTGCATTCCCTGCACTCAGCAGAGGACTGGACTAGATGGCCTCTAAAGTCCCTTTCAATTATATGCAGTGTATTCTTTTAAAATATTTCAGCACAAGGACAATAAGAAAAGCTCCGCTGGATCAGACCAATAGTCCAGCATCCTGTCTCACATAGTGGCCACCCAGTTCCTCTGAATAGCCAACAACAGGACATAGAGTCTGAGACCTTCCCCTGATGTTGCCTCCTGGCTCCGGGATTCAGAGGATTAGTGCCTCCAAATGTGGAGGTTCCCGTCAGTCACCATGGCTAGTAGCCATTGATAGACTTATTCTCCATAAATCTATCTAATGACCTTTTAAAGCTGTTTATTCCTGTGGCCATCACAACATCCTCTGGCAGCGAATCCCACATTTTAATCACCTTCTGTGTAAAGTAGTATTTCCTTGTATCCGTTCTGAACCTACTGCCCATCAGCTCCATTGGATGCCCTCGAGTTCTAGTATTTTGGGAGAGGTAGAAAAATGTCTCTTTGTCAACTCTCTCCACTCTATGCATAATTTTGTAAACCTCTATCTTGCTACTCTGTGCAACATTCTGTAATATAGACGTTACTTCCAGGTTTCAAATATGCTTCTGAACAGGCTGTTAACATTTTTAAACAGAAATCTGGTATCACCATAAAGACTAACAATGCTTATTCTAGCACAAGCTTTCATGAGTTAGACTTCACTCCTTTGGACTCATGCTGAGATAAACATTGTTAACCTTTAAGGTGCCACTGGACTTCTGTTTTATTTTGCTACAACAGACTGACATGGCCGCCCCTCCACATTTAACACTGTAAATCTGTCAGCAAAGACCACAGCAGGATTTCCTCCTTCCTACCCAAAAAGCACAGCAAATGGGACTAAGTAGGCATAGTTCACTACCGGGCAATCCTTGCAAACCAAGAACCGTTAATTAAAAACGTTTAGCTAACAATGCATGCACCCCGGTGCTTCCATAACAGAACATGCTGCTCCAATAAAGCACAGAGAATTCTTCCCGGCAAAGTGCTCAGACCAGGTGCTTTCACTGCTGCCAAAAGGATTAAGAAAACTTGTTCTTAAGGCAGCTAGTAGACTTATACAAACATTTCTAATATGCAATTGTGGGTTCAAGCCAAAATATATCTATATATATCACAAAACAAAGCATGCAGGTATTTTAAATCTGGTACCAACATTCTGATTCAGCCCCCTCCCCCCCCCCCCCCCCAAAACCCCCACCCCCCCCCCTCAGGGCTCTACACCTGTTCCAATTCTGTAGCAGCTTAACAACAACAGAAAGAATGTACTATGTACAGAATTCAGCTTCCAAGTTTTATTTTATTTTTAAACTACACTTCCCTGTTTAAGAACTTAACAGCCCTGCTGGATCAGACCAGTGGTCCGTCTAGTCCAGCATCCTTTTTCACGCAGTAGCCATTCCAGTTGCCCTGGAGGACCAACAAATAGGGCACAGAGGCCGAGGCCTTCCCCTGATGCTGCCTCCTAGCACTGGTGTTCAGAGGTTTGCTGCCTCTTATAGCAGAAAAGATATTCTTTTAATGTGTGCAGGCAATGCCCACTGAAACATCAAAAGCCAGAAGGGGGGCTTAATATGATCTTCAGGAGGAGGGTTTCCGTGCCCTACACAGGGTCCGCCCCAGAACTAAGATGGCCCAATTCAGGTTAAGCAGTAAAAATTTGGAGAATTACATGAAAGACGAGAAAATTCTTCAAATATACATAATGTGTAAATGTCACAGAATCCCGCTCCTCAGTGCAACATCTGGATTTCTCTTTTCTTTTCCATGCACCAACTACAAAGCACCAACCCAGCCCACCCCCAGGAGCCATCACAACACTGTACTGGCTGGACAGACCACTCGGCTGCCTGCTTCCCATTAGTTTTTTGTTTTGTTTGTCTTTCCCTTAACAGATTCTCCTTTATGGATGGCCTAAAATAAGAAGCGTGCTCTCTTCCACTTACTTGGCTATTACCGGAATAGAGACGGCTTCCGAGATGGCTTTGATCACATCGCAGTGGACGGGATGCTGAGGCCTCTCTTCTTTCTTCCTTTGCAAAGGAGGGAGTAAACAAACAGATTAAAAGTTTACTGGCACAGAGTGTTCCTCTCCGCGCAGAGGCAATTCCAGCCAGCCGGGTACTCGTGATGTGGAACGACAGCAGAGAATGGCTGAGAAAATTCCCTTTTCCCTGGGAGAGGTGGGTGATTTACCTTCCGTGAACAGCGATGGCAGCAACTCCAGTCTTTTCTATCTTCTTCACTAAACTTATTGTTTCTTCTGTCTGGGGGATTGGGGAGGAGAGAGCACAAAAGAAGAAACACCCATCACCCAAGTTTCCTACTTCAGTTAGCTTTATAGTGATGGGAGGTGGGGAAGCACAGATGTGCCGGCCTCACCCGATGCCCCAGATGTTGCAAAAGCAGTGGCCCACGCAAGCCATCGTTACGCCCCACTTTTGAGAGATGCAGATTCAAGTTCTGCTCAGTGAGCTCTATGGGCCAGGCCCCTTTTCAACAGGTGGGCAGCAAGCAAGGTGTAGCAGGACAACCGTGGTCAGACCTCAACCTGCCTGGGCCCATCACCCGGTGAGAGCCACATCTGCCCTGCGCTCTTATGAGCAAGCAACATTCCATGCTAATTGGAAGAGCAAGTTACAAATGCAATTAAAACAGCTTTAAAACCCCCATATACCTCTGGAACATCTACCTTGTTGTTTACTTTCTAAGTATATTAGAAAATTCACTGGGGGGGGTGGACACTGGAGGGGTGGCGGCAGGTAATTCTGCACCACAGGTGAGCAAATGGGAGGCCTCTAAATGCAATACAGAGAGTAGGATGTTGCACAGCACACCAGGGCCCACAACTGTGGCTGTGTAAACATGTCAGTCCATTGCTCCCATCTCTGTAGCTACATTTCTGCATACTTCCCAGCTGAGTAGATGACCTCCAGAACCACACCAAGGGAGAAGGTACACTGTGCTAATACTAAAATGTGCACTAATGAGGCACATTGGGGTTTCCAACTTTGTCTCGGCAAATGCAGGGAGATTTTGAAGACAGTGCCTGGGGAGGGTGACTCTCTAGGCTTCTTTCCCTTCCCTAATCTCTGTGGTCTTTGCCATAGAGACTAGGGGAAATTCCTAGAGCATCATTATGTGGAAGCTATTTCTTCTCCCTCTCCTCAATTCTTCAGGGGGTGGAGGCAGGTAATTCCCCACCGCAGGTGGGCAATTGGGAGGCCTACAGCACACACATGCACCAAATATGACTTCTGGCAAAGACTACTGAATTGAGAATACCGCTGTGTAATTGCAATGTACTATCTTAGATAACCTTAACTGCCAAGAATTGCCAAGAAGACTGTCAAGGATGACAGCTTTTCTTCATTCACGTCTGACTTAAATTGTTTTTAAACAGCTAGCAATTTGTATGTTCTTGTTAGGAGCACCACAGTGATTTTGCTTTTCAAGATCAGACATTTCAGGCATCTTAATATGTCCTTACCGATGGCAAGATACGGATTTTGCAGGTCACTGGCTTACAGATTCCTTGGACGAGGGTAGTCAGAATCTACAAAAAGGGAGAGGGGGGGGAGGGTACGGTTTAATCAAAAAAGATATGCAACAGTTTTCATCTTGAATCGTCTGGCCAGTTTGGTCTCTCCGCTCCCTGCCCACTTCAGTTCCTTTCTCAGCAAGAACTGTGCAGGCGATGAAGAGTGTGAAGGCTTCCCTAAAGAACAGTCCTTGTAAATAGGACCCTAGTCTTATGAATGCTGCATCGTCCCTTGAGACTCCTGGACCACTGGTGTTTGGAAGCTTTTGGCTATCAAGGTATCTGGTTCAGCGGCTGCTTGGGAGCTGCAATACTAAACTGGGCATTCAGAGTCACCACCTGGACAAGCTGGATAACTGCACCTCCAGAGAGGAGGAAGCAGCAGCAAACGTCTTGTTCATGTGAAGTTAAATCATACACTTGCAGGAGAACTCCAGCCTGCATTCTTCGGAGTACACCTTTCCTCTCTTTTATTATTTTTTTTATTATTCATAGAATCAGAGTTGGAAGGGATCTTCAGGGTCATCTAGCCCAACCCCCTGCACAATCCAGGAAATTCACAAATACCTCCCCCCCTCCACACCCCCAGTGACCGCTGTTCCACGCCCAGAAGATGACAAAAAACCTCCAGGATCCCCAGCCAAACCAGACTGGAGAAAAATTGCTTCCTGGCCCCAAAGTGGCAATCAGCATTTCCCTGGGCGTGTAAGAAAGGGCCACAAAAACGAAGCACTGAGGCAACCCTTCCTGCCCTCCCTCTCAAGATCTGCCTAAGTTCACAGAACCCGCATTGTTGTCAGATGGCCATCTAGCCTCTGTTCGAAAACCTCCAAAGAAGGAGAGCCCCCCCCCTCACCTCCTGAGGAAGCCCGTTCCACTGAGGAACTACTTGGTCAGGAAGTCCTTCCTAATGTTTAGCCGAAAACTCTTCTGATTTAATTTCAACCCATTGGTTCTGGTCCGACCTTCTGGGGCAACAGAATACAACTCCATACCATCCTCTATATGACAGCCCTTCAAGTACTTGAAGATGGTTATCATATCACCTCTCAGTTGTCTCCTCTCCAGGCTAAACATACCCCGCTCTTTCAACCTTTCCTCATAGGACTTGGTCTCCAGACCCCTCACCATCTTCGTTGCTCTCCTCTGGACACGTTCCAGCTTGTCTATAGCCTTCTTAAATTGTGGTGCCCAAAACTGAACACAATACTCTAGGTGAGATCTAACCAGAGCAAAGTGGTACCATCACTTCGCGTGACCTGGACTCTATACCTCTGTTGATACAGCCCAAAACCACATTTGCCTTTTTAGCAACTGCATCACTCTGCTGACTCATGTTCAATGTATGGTCTACTAAGACCCCAAGATCCTTTTCGCACATACTACTGCCAAGGCAAGTCTCCCCCAACCTATAATAATGCATTTGATTTTTCCTACCGAAATGCAGAACTTTACATCTATCATCATTGAAATTCATTTTATTTGTTTTAGCCCAATTTTGCAGGCCTGTCAAGATCATCCTGTATCCTGACTCTTGTCTTCTACCGTATTTTCTACCACAGGCAGGCTATCCCACAAGGTGGGGGCCTTCCCTCCCCGGCAGCTTATTCTCCGTGAATAATGGCACAAGGCAAAGTCAGTATTAACACGGGGAATACTTACGGATTCTATTTTGTCAGGTGCAGACAGCAGTGCTGCTCCCATACCTCCCTGAGAAAATCCAAAAAACAAAGAAAGGACAGGGGAGATAAAACTTCATTAACTCACCAGCGCTAAACACGCCACAAAATCCCACTCTCCAGAAAAGCGCTGCAGCATCCTCACAGGAAACCTAAAAGCATCCCAGGCTTTATCGGAGGTATCTTTGCTTCCATGCAATGTATACTAACCCTGGCTGCAGCCAGTGTTCCCTCTAAGCTGAGTTAGTGTGAGCTAGCTCACCCTTTTTTAGCCTCCGGCTCCCACATTTTTGTCTTCGCTCAGGAAGGACGGCTCCAGAGGAAACTAATTTATGCAGTAGTAGCCAAATCGCTCTCTCACAACTTTAATGCCAGTTGCTCACAAAGTAGATTTTTTGCTCACAGGACTCCACAGCTTAGAGGAAGCGTTGGCTGCAGCACTAACTCTTGGCGTGATGCCCGGCAAAGACATGTGCCTGTTATTCTGATGGCTTCTTGTACACAAGTCACGGCAAGTGCTGGAAGGCAGCCTTGTTTACTCCCCAGAGACATTCCCATCATAACGATGTTATTTATTATTTGGAAAGCTCAGAGCGGCTTACGCAAAGCTCCCCCTTGTCTCCCACCCAGACACAGGGCAGGCCCCACACAACTAAAGCTTTGACCAAATGCCCAATAATGCAATGCAGCACATGAAAGCAGCACACGGAGACTTTCAAAGAGAGATCTTATTGCCACCCCCTCTAGCTATACAGTGAGCAGCCCAAACAGACTGTGCATGCATTCGATCCAGGGCACTTGAAAGATTTCTTAGCAGGCAACCAGGAAGTCAAATAAGATGGCCAAAATGCTGAAGCTATGGCACAAGCAGCTGCTGGAAAGGTTCCCCACTCTCTCCTCAAGAAGATCTGCAACTGGCCCTGACCTGGATAGCCCAGACAAGCCCAATCTCGTCAGATCTTGGAAGCTAAGCACGGTGGACTCTGGCAAATACTTGGTTGGGAGACCTCCTTGAATACCAGCAGTTGGGAGGCCGGCTTTATTCAGCTACGTCTCTGAATATCCTCCAGGCCCCCAGTAAGGGTCAGTCACCAGAGGTCACCATGACTTCCAGGTGCACACATACTCACACACATGCACACACACGCACATACGAAAAATACAAAAAAACCCCCAAAAAATAATAAAAAAGAACATTTGCAACTGGAGTATTTTCAGATGTTTGCGCAGAAGCCATTCAGGTCCACATGGAAACAGCCCAACTTCAAGTAACATAACAACCTGATGACAATTTGCTCCATATGTCAAATTTCTTTTGACAAGACAATGGTGGAAAGATGCACCCAAGGTGAGAAAGCTCCTATATTTTTAGGAGAAGCTTCAGAGGAAGATTCATTTCAGCTGAGCACAATGAAAATGCTATTACTGCTATCACCAGCTCACAACAAATGTCTCCAAGGCAAGAAGTTTTTGTGGGTCTTTTATAATATCGTCATGGAGAAAGAAGGCGACAACTGAAACCGTGTTCCAAGTTTGCTACTGACACCAACCATTCAAGGACTCTGAGTCTCGAGTTTTTCTCCTTCTGGAGTAAAACTACAAAATGCTGGCGTGGTTTGCACAGAGACAAAACAAAGCAGTTAAGTCTCCAATTATAGGAAGCAATCAAATCAGAACTGATATACTGCGATGCATCAGTTTTGGCATTTCACTAAAATGTCAGTGTGACACGCAACGCACTAAGAATAAAGAATCCTTTCAACAACCAGCAGCTTTGTTCCTTTGAGACGGGAGCGTCTTTAATTATTACTTGGCTGCCAGGGTATGAACCAGGTGAGATGAGGAGCAGGCCTGTGGTTTTTGCATTGCATCTGACTGCTCACCCCACTGCAGAGTTGTGAATGTAACAGCAGCAACCTTATGGGCATACACTTCCAATGCATCCAAGGAAATGAGCTCTAAATAATGAGTTTCAGGATGATTGTTTGAATTTCAGTGCCGAAAAGAAGAAACTGCAATAACCTGGCCAAGGTCATCTGGAGGATTTGCGAAGGAAGCGATGCTTGTCTGTTTGTGGCAGGCATAACTCAACAGAAAATAAAACTTGGGAGTTTCCAAAGTCAATGATCGTGGGGAGCTGCAGCGCCAAAAGTGAAGGGAACTGGAACATCTCTCTGCTATTTTAATGGAAGTCACAGTTTACTCGCTAAAAGCCAGGAAGATGGAGGCAGCTCAGAAAGGAGGGTGGAATATGACCCCCTCCTCCTTTACAAAAGCAAACCTTCAGAGAAGTTTGGCCAATTAAAAGGTCTTCCGGAGGGCGATGCTCATTGACAGACAGCCCCCCAACCTTTCTGAGCCTGTGGGCACTTTGGAATTCTGGCACAGTGTGGTGACACAGCCACAAAATGGCTGCCAAAAATGGATGCCACAGGAGGCAGAGCCAGCACAAAATGATTGCTACAGTTTACCTTCAGTCACATAGTGCAGATAATTGTGTTGTGGTGGCCAAAATATGGCCAAATGCCATTTGGGAGGTTAGCCTGCAGGCAATGCAGGGGCAGAAGGCCCTTATAAAATAATACCACAAGTGCAGCGAGCTTCAGGGTTGGAGAATAGAGAGAGCAGGGCGGACCCTTCATAATAATCCATATAGTGCTAATACTAGCCTTAACAGCAGTCAGTGGCTTAAGGCCACTGTAGCCTCTGCCCCTGCGAGCTTGCCTCTGATTCGCGACCAGCTATTGGTGCTCTGCTCTGTGATTCTGTCCTGACAGAGGTTAGGTTGATAAGTGTGGTAGACGGGCTTTTCCGCTGTTAAACTCTCTGCCTCAGAAGGTTTATTATCCTCTCCCTCATACACATACTTCTGGCCATCTTATTCTAGTGGGCATTTGATGTTTTTACTTCCTGACCTGATCCTATTTTAATTCTGCAAAACACTGAATGTTAGAAGAATATTACGTAGACTGAAAAGAGTAAGTACACAAGGTGAATGGTCATTAATGAAAGCAAAAGGTCAAATGGGCAAGTTTCAACCTACCTTAGTGGAATATTCTTTGGGACATCCCATGTTGACATCAATGCCAGCCACATCATTCTCCCTGAAAAGATAAAGATGAAACACAAGAGATAGGGAGCAAACCCATTACCATAAAGTCTCTATTTCCACCATACATTTTGGATCCTGTGCATCTGTTCTCTGAGAAACAGGAGAACAGTCATTCTCATGCCCTCCACTTGCCTACTACAAAAAAATCAAACTCCTCTGCTGGTCTGAGGCTTATTGTTGATGTTACTTACATATGAAAGCTTACATGCAGTGAAGATCCATGAGCTTGCATTTTTGGCAGACTTACTTTCAAGACAGGGACAACTGGCAACGATTACATGAACCAAGATTTGTGGCAGATTCCCAGGTTATTATGAAGATTCTCAGCAAGCACCAAATGTCAAAACACTATCAGAAGCATAAACATTTGACAGATACTTACACAAGTCGGGCTACTATCAGGGCTCTCTCAGCATCTGCTGTCCCCTGCAGAATGCAGAGAAGTCAAAATTATAATCAGCATACTTTGTACGTGGACTGCTGGAATACAAACTCCAGTGGAAGAAACAAAACGAGATTTGGTTGGCTTCGCCCTTTTAAAGCAATGCTTCAGAGAGAGTAGTTACTGAGTGACAATTTGAATTAAGCCTCGGGTGAAAAAGGACTGGTGCTCCACTCTTCCAATACGACCCTTAACTTTTGATCCACTAATAGTACAATCATAAACAGAGTCAGATCCTTCTAAATCTACTGAAGTCAACTGACTTAGAAGGGTGCTAACTTCAACAGACTTCAGATTTACAAGTGTCTAACTCTGGTTAGGACTGCACTTCAAGTCAATTTATGGAGCTTGGGAACAGGATACTCTTCTTTTATGGGAAGCATTTAATACTATTTAACTGTCTTGCCTAGGCTATAGATATAACTTTATATTTTGTGACTAGGTAGAATAGCCCCTTGACACAAGCCAATCAGCTCAAAGACATAAATTGGTGGAAAGTTCTAACAATTATGCATTCCGACACTATTATAGTGTAACTGTTCCACTTTAAAAAAAACTGTAGGGGGATACAAAGCATTGGTTCAGATATAACACCAAACCATGATTTGGCACTATGAGAATGAGCCTAGGATGAGCTTCAGGACTCACATTCATAATCCCCACTCATGCCTTATAAATTAATCAATTCCTTCCTCACTTGTGGCAAAATCAGAGCTTGTCATTGCCTCCAGCAATTGTTTCCACCTGATTCTGCAAACCAAAACTGCAAACTGGGAACAAGCCACGGTCTGCTACCCTGGTTTGGAGGGCAAGCACAAACCCACAATTTGCCAGTGCAGAGGTGATGGCAAATTTTGGTGTAGAGTGAAAGATGTAACTAAGTTGTGGGGTATGAGGGGAGACCATCGTATAAGCGAGCCTGAAGATCCTTGGAGCCATGTTCCTGTAACACCAACTCAGATAGCCACAGACAGGAGGCCCACTGAAGAGTTGGGGAGAAACTAAGGCTGCAGAATGATTAAAATGAAGCCAGACTCGGTCAGCACTTGGGTGGGAGATCACTGGGTATGCCCTGCAAGTTTCTCCCAACTTTCTAAAGGAGGCTCAGACTAAAGCAGGGCTCAACAAGTTGCAGACAGCAGGCTTCCCCAGCGCCTAAGAATTTCATTGTGGTACCCACTATTTCCAGGAATAATTTTACTGTAGTTTCTCCCAGCAATTCTCAGAAATACGAAGCTTTTTTAATCACTATGCTTCGGGATTTTCATAAAAATGCATGACCATGAAGTTCTTATCAGTGCTTGTTTGTATGTTAACTTTATACCCTTTCCATGGTTGTGGATGAATTAATTTCTTCACCGGTTGTTTTCTGTACTGGTTCCAATATTCAATTGAATGGAGTTTCTCAAAGCAATAATGAAATTATGAGGATTTGGGGAGAAGTTAGGTTTTTGTTGTGATGGTAACAACCTGGGTTACCTTCTATTTATTTATACATGACAACACTTGTGGTATTGTTTTTTATACAAGAAATTGTGAACAATTTGGATTAGGTTTTACGGTAGCAAAAATCAAAAAACCAAGGTCATTAAGCACAAAACCCTGAAGGCGAAAAATGGCTCTGGCTCCCAAAGTTTTGCACTGGCTCCTAAAGCTAAAGAAAAATTGTCAAGGCCTGGAATAAAGTATTAGTAAAAAAAACGTGCTTTCCTAGCAGGCAACTGGCTGCTTCACCAGCTGCATTCACTCAAACAAGACTGTATCAAGAACACAGGACTAATCAGGGTTAAAAGATGAACTTTAAAAAAAAAAAAATGCATAATACATCATCTCAATTATGGCACTCAGTGTTCAGGCCCCTTCTGATATTACTTTCATGGCCCAAAAGCCACTGAAGCTCATGTCCTTGCAACAGTAATATCATGAATCCATCATCCCATGGAAGGAGCTGCCAATGCAGCTCTTTCCAATGCCCACAGTTTGGCCCAGGGCCACTACAAGTTAAGAACACAAACCTGATTTATTTCTGAAAACGAGAGGTAGCTAAGGCAGGTAGCTGCACACAATGTATCATCTACACAGGAACACTGAACTGTTGTCAAGGCATCAAATATAAACAGCTCACACAACCAAATGGGAGACTTTGTAGCAAGAGAATCACCAAAGGTGTGGCGTGGATTAGAGGATGGCGTGGTACAGTGGACAGAGTGTCGTGCTAGGCCCTGGGATGACTGGATTTGAATCTCCCATTTAGCCAAGTGACCCTGGGCCTGTCATGGTCTCAGCCTGACCTCCCCTCACAAGGCTGCTGGTCTGAGGATTAAGTGGAGTGAGTAATGATATGAAAAGTTGCTTTAGGTCCCTGAGCATGGAGAAAAGCAGAATATAAATTAAAAATAAGCAATAAGTGTGTTGCCCCGTATATATTTTTTCCTGCTTTGATTCTAGATTGGTTATTTTAAAATTCTGTTTTTCAGTCCGTTCTCTCCTCATCCACATCTCTTCCCACTATCTATTTTACGGATTTAATTTTTTAACATTTCTTTTAAGTAGAATCTGGTGCATTTTATAGATGTTGTGGGACACTCTGGGAACTCTGGGAACTCCAGTGAAAACACAGGATACAAACTTAACAAACAGCTTAATGAAAGCATACAGACACAATACACACAAAAGATGCCGTTTCATCACTCCGCCATCTCCTACATCACTGAATTTGCAAGAAGATGTCAATGGGAACGGTGCTGGCAATTTATTTAGAAAATATTAATGGCTCCGATTGTATTTCATTTAGCAGAAAGGCAACTGCTGGTCATCTCTTACCATCTGAAAGACAACGCAGTCTTTTTCCCTTTCACAGGTCCTGAACACGACTCGCTCATTAGGAGCCACAAAGTCTACTGTTCCAAGCACCTCTGCAAAACAGAGACGGAAAAGGACAGCTTGAAGACGAACATCACACAAAGAACATCCATGTTTGCACACTAAGACATCTGAGCTGAAAATGTTTGTGTTTTTTTGCCATTATGCTGCAGCCGATTTATGCCAACCCCATAGAACTTTCAAGGCAAGAGACGCACAGAGGTGGTTTGCCACTGCCTGCCTCTGTGTAGCAACCCTGGACTTCCTTGGTGATCTCCCATCCAAGTACATAAGAACATTGGCCAATGTTGGATCAGGCCAAAGGCCCATCCAGTCCAACACTCTGTGTCATACAGGGGCCAAAAATACCAGGTGCCATCAGGAGTTCCACCAGTGGGGCCAGGACATTAGAAGCCCTCCCACTGTTGACCCCCCCCCAAGCACCAAGATGACAGAGCATCACTTGTCCTAGAGCCCCTATCTATACCTTGTGGCTAATAGCCACTGATGGACCTCTGCTCCATATGCTTATCTAATTCCCTTTTGAAGCCGTCCATGCTTGTAGCCGCCACCACTTCCTGTGGCAGTGAATTCCATGTGTTAATCACTCTTTGGGTGAAGAAGTACTTCCTTTTATCCATTCTAACCCGACTGCTCAGCAATTTCATTGAGTGAAAATAATAATAATAATAATAATAATAATAATAATAATAATAATAATAATAA